ATTTTTTTTAAAAATATGGGCATGTAGCACATCGATTTTAGGGTTTTTAAGCCTTCTGAATTTAAATGTTTAGTTAAAAATATGTTTGGGGGAGTTTTAGAGGAGTGAGGGGTGTTTTTGAGGGGTTGGTATATATATTTTTTCAATATTAACGTGTCGTACATCGATTTATATGTTTTATGGATAAGGATCCCGAATTCCTATCAAAATGGAGGTACAGCAAGTTATTCAATGTTAAAAAAGTAGAACGACGCCGACAGACGGCCCGAAAATAACATAAAACGCGCGGTACGCGACGCCGCGCCCGCGCTGCTCAACGACAACATTTTAATAAAAAGATAATAATTATAACAAGTGCGATACGTCTTTTTATAGGTTTTTTGGGGTGGAGATTACAATTTTGATGTCAAAATATGATTTTTGAATAAATCCTAGAAAGATAGCGTCAAAATTTAGAGTTAAAAAGTTTACCATTTACTCCAATACCCTTACTTAAATATCCCCATCCCACATATCCCGTCTTGTAAAAAATATACTATCTAGTTCAATACCCCTACCTAAATATCCCTATTAATTGTTTTTTTATTTTTGGTAGAAATCAAAATTACTGGTTGAGAGGGAAGTATCGTTTGTTGTGTTAGAACATAACGTCTTGCAGAATGTTTTCCTCTACTGGTTCTAGTGGATGATTTAATACTGTAATCGTAGTATTTATCAAAAATTAAAATCACATCTGCTTCTCGTAAATAAGCAACAAATTTATCAACAAAGAGTTTTAAGTAATCAGAAACCAACCCCTTAAAAACACACCCCACTCCTTCAAAACGCCCCCAAACATATTTTTAACTAAAAATTTAAATTCAGAAGGTTTAAAAACCCTAAAATCAATGTGCTACATGCCCATATTGTTAAAAAATTTAATTTTTGTATTTTTTGTAGACATTTTTGAGACATCTTGAATTTCTCAAAATGCTCAAGGGTGACAGAGTGGCATCAATCGGATTCTTAAAATAGTGACCTAAAACCGCAAAAAAATTTTCACCGTAGGTACCTTACTTCCAGCTTTTTCGTCTGGATTCCAGACTATACGAAATGATCGCTAAGTAGCGCAAGTTTCAAGTTTTGGCTAATCAAGAATCAAAATGCAATAAACGTATAAAATTTATAAGTATAATAAACGGCAAAGAAAAAGAGAAGCGATTTGTTGCTATAACTATACACGGAAAAAATCCTTCTTCGGTGCAAGCTTGGAAACCATAACGAACCAAATAGCAAAAGGAGGTTACTATTACCATCGAGATTACCATTGAATAAGCTTATTCAGCTACTACTGAAATATAATCTGCAGATAAATTTCTTTCTTTCTTTCTTTCTTTCTTCATTTTTTCTTTCTTTATTTCTTTATTTATTTTAACTTTTGGAAAATGCTCTAAAAATGAAAACAGATTTTCGTCGAAAGGCGAGTATCTTTAGTGCATTTTCCATGAATTGATCAGTATTTCCCGAAAGGTCATGTAACGGACTATTTATGTGTACAAACGAAAATAGTTATGGCATAAATATTCTTATAAATAAGAAACTTATCATTGCGCAATATGCTTGCCTTGATTAGAAGAATCGGTCAAAAATATCTGTATAAATAAGAAAGTTCGCGCAGTCTGCTCATGCCCACATATGGTTTTTATTATATGTGATATGCGTGTCTTTACTAGAAGCGTCTGTGGATAACATTTCAAAAAAATCTTTATAAATAAGGAAGATGACAGTGAGCAGTTTTCTTGGTTGAGGTGCCAGAGCTATAAGCTACCGAATCAAAAAGGAACGAACTAAATATTTTGAAAACTGTCGTAGTAGTAAAGGCCTTAGACGGACAGACGGACGGACGAACGGAGAAAGTGGGCATAATAGCGCCTCCTAACATGTGCTAAAAAGGATGTAGTTCTAGATGTTAACTTAACTTCATATACACGTTTAGCAATTCACGATTCGGTACTAATAGCGTGTAGAATCTAGATATCTCATAAATTTAATTTGGACTCTCTTAATTTGTTTAAATTGGCGTTTGTAGTATGGAGACCATATGATAGTACAAAATTTTATCTCACATAACATTAAATAAAGTAGTTATTGTTAATTTATTATTAAAGTTTCGTGAATTTCTAATTATAAAACCTGAAATTCTCAAAGAATCATTTGTTATTTTTTGAATATGATTATTAAAACTAATTTATTGTCAAGTAGAACACCCAGAACTCAAATCGTTTCTTTAATTTTTATTCATAGTGTATTTAAAGTTCATAGGTTTAGAACAAAAGTTGAATTAAATTGCTTATGGTATACCATTTTAATATTGTAATCGTACATAGACACAAACTATGAAAGAAGAACTTACAATTGAATTATGCAACCAGATCGTCAGTTGTATTCCATAACAGAATTCTACAGCAACAAAAATTCTATAGGGTTGATTCGTACGTTGCGTAATCTTACATAAAAATTCAAAGTAAGATTGAAACGATGCGTTAGTAAAGCTAAGCACGACTTCAGTAAGTTCTGAAATAGGACGTTAAATAATGACAAATGTTATTAGAAAGTGGAAAATTGGTAGATAAGTGATTTTTGCTACGATTGGGGGTTGCTGGGCAGGTGCAGCCCACTTCCGTTGGGCTGTATGTATCCACTCATAGGTTTCAATATATTTATAGTTATATAGATGTCTAAGTAAGAATTAACATAAAGAAAAGAAACAATTTTTAATATTTATTAGAATATCTATAGAGTATTAAATTTATTATGGTTATTTTCTTTTTCTTTTTTGTTTATTTTTTTATTTTCTTTATTTTTATTAATTACTATCTTCCGTCTCTTCGCATCTATAAATTATTATTGCCATTTATTACAAATGGCACGCCACTAATCAGTTAAACAACCAACTAATTCATATTAAATTAATTAATATAATTTCAATTTTGTACTCGGGACGTATTCTTTCTTTCAATAAAAATTATTGTTAAGTATTAGGGTTACGTGGAAGAGCAGATTATGAAACTTCCTATTCATAAATCTGAACTTCGCCCTATTGAAGGTGACTCTGACGTTAGTTTTTATTTCCTATTTAATAGTCATGAATTCTGTTTATTAGTATGTACAGTATTATCCTTCAATAAATGACCATTATTATTATTATTAATGTATGTATCTGCTTTTCACGGGGCTCATAAAAAATAAAGTTGGTGATGATTTCTATCAAACGAAAGTGTATAAAAGATTATCAGGGTGCTTTGGTAAAGGTCGAACCGTGGATTTTATTTTTTTGTACAGTACATCAGAAAAAAATAAAAACGAATGGAAAATTGCTTGACTTTATAGTTGCTAATAACTCTTAATCCTTATCTGACAGTGTCGTAATCATGTCTGTTTCTGCACATATTTTGATACTTTTATTACGATTCTATATAGTCTTTTTGAATGTTGGGAAACAGCAATTTCTCATACTGTCGTTTTGAACGAGAATCTTTAAATTAAATTGACGTTATTATGATACCTTCATAATCTAACTTGACAACGTATTTTGACTCAAATTTTAACATTCAAATTGCTGCAGATGATTTACCGGGGCAAAAAAATACCACAAGACTAAAATGCGACCTAATCCAATCACATTTCTGGCAACAAACTGCACCCTAGATATGAAAGACACTTTAGTCCCTTGATATACAATTGTCCCCCAGACGTTAATTTAAATGTTTATAGTCATTACAATTAAAAAACTGTGCGTATAGTTTAGACAAGTAACTGTACTTATAATAAGACAGGATAAGTTAGTGTCCTCGAATTAAATGTAGGTACCACCCTGAGAGGAAACAAATTCCAAATTTGCTGCCAGTTTTAAAAACACGCGTTTTTGTTACAATTTTTTTCGAAAACTAAATACGTTAGGATCGAATTAAGGAATGCAGTTTCCAAGTTTAAATGTCAACCGGTTAATTATGAAGTAGACTTATTCTGAATGAAAAATAATAGGATTATATCGCTCATGATCGCGCATTAATTGTTATGAGTCAACGACTGGTAGAATATTTGTAGCCTTGCAAGGCTAAATGTCCCGAAGCCGATTATCACGGATTTATAGTGGCGCATTTGTAGGTGTATTGTTTGCGGCGATTACTCACTGGCGCACCTCTTCCAGAAAGGTAATTAATCAAACTGGTGTGGGCCTTCCTGTTGCAACGTTACGTTAGCGTTACCATGTGCGTCTGTTCTTGGTGAATTTTTAGTAGTACTCGTAGGAGGGCATTATCGATATAATTCAATTAGCCATACAAGCGTAACATGGCATTTGCGTCTATTGTTGCAGTGAACCAAAAAGAACTTTGCACTGTTTCGAATTGAGAAATTTGGTCAGATCGAGACCGTAGATATTTGGTTCAGGCTGTCGCTTTAACCCTCTGGCAGAGAGAGGTTGTGGGCTTTTGTCAGATGTGAACATTCCTATTCTGAGAAAGGCCTTTATCGCGTCTAGTGATCAGTTTATTAAAATATCATGCAAAACTCCTCCATTTATTGTTTGCAATGAAATAAATATGTTGACGTGGACACGGTCATAAAATACACCGGATTTCGGGTTTTTATAAAACAATACATTGTAGCATTCCATCAGCATTGTATATACGTTGTTAAGTCATTCTGCACTAATCATTCCATACCCCTTATAAGTTACTTCTATTTCACCCTTCTTTGTGACCCCTTTCAGTCTTCTGATGGATGGTTCCACCTCACCTCGTGTACGTTTAAAGCTTTTTCTGGACATTCGAAAGTTGGAGTTTTTATTTAATTGCTCCACGGCATAAAGCGCGAACGACGGGGGTAACAAAAAACATTTTAATTGGTATAAACCCTTTTAACATTTTTGAACCGTACTGCTCCATCATTAAGGAGTAGCTGTAGACCTGTCAAAAATGTTGTGATTTACTTGAAAACTTTATTTTCGTTCTGTGCATTGGTTAAATTATAAGGCTGAAATTTTACTGATAGGCCATCCACCATAACCATATGAAGGTCCACCATAACCGAGACCTGTACCGAAAGTTAGGGATGGAGCACCTACAGCATACGGTATTCCTGGCGCATATCCAGTCCACGGTCTATGCAAGATAGGCTGATCGTACTAAAATGGTACTAGTACTTAGCGATTATTGTATCAATTCTGTACTAACCTTGATAAGGTATTGGTAGGAAGTGGCATGACCCAGTGGTGCACCGTAACCCCCGTAACCTCCGTAACCCCCATATATTCCAGGGTACACCCCTGCATGTACGTAAGCAACTAGAAAAATGACGGTGGCCTAAAAATCAACCGTAAATTAAACAACTACACACTGGCACTATTACGTATTTTAGCATTGTGAGATCTGAGACTATACTATAAAACTTAAAGAAGAAGAGATTCATTATATACCCAAAACAATTAGGGGTAAGTGCAGGATGCACCAAGGTCCACGTCAATTTCCCCAAATATGCCTTTGTGTATTATTCACGCTTAGTTAACTATGTAAATTTGGATTCATTAAAAAATTACAATATTCGTAATGCCGCCGAAAAACAAACGACTTTACACAACGCAGACCGTGGCCTAGCCTTTTCCAAATTTCTATAAAATGGTCCCATTAAGGAAACGCCCAATGGAAAAATGCAAATAATGTGTAGGTGACCAGAGAACAACGCCATTTTAAAACAATAACGACCTCTAAACTCGTTAGGATCATAAATTATTCATACGCCCTTTACGTATGTATACCTTTTTTTTATAATTTACTACAGTAACTAACCACACAATTCAAAACCGGTAACATGAGTGCCGACATTGCAAATTCAAGCCGTTTATCGTTTATTCATCGGGTGAACGCATTTGAATTACAAATTATTTTCACTGCTCAATGTGGTAGATCTTTAATTTTTGTAATAACGGTACCAAATGGGTACGTTTTTCACTTTCGATTGCTTCGTGGGAGATCTCGTGGTGTAAATCACAACCTTGTACTGTTTCATAAAACGGAAGTTTAGCCACGATTAATCAACAACTTCGATGTTAAAGTTGGAGGACAAGCCGATAAAGAGAAATTATTGTCAATTATTTATACTGTTAGTTGACCATCGTTTCAACCGTGCTGTATAGGTTGCCTAAGTTGACCGCTTATTAAACAAATATTAGAACCTTTTGGATGTGTGGTACAAACGCTCTTATAATTGATAGTGTGAAAATATTAGCAAGCACCCCCTTGAAAATTTGAGACACCTTGCTTGATTGCAATGATCCAGCAATTACAGTATTTTGAATTTGGCGCAAGCATAATTGCAAGGATGTAAATTTTTTATATTGTCTTGACTACAGAACACGTAGAATGAAGCAAAAATGGCACATTTATTATTTAGCAAACTGTAGCGAATATTCTAAAGCGACATCGGGGGGCCATCAGGTCGCCAGCAATTTGATAAAGGATTAGTCACTGGCGATAAGGAACGAAGAAGCAAATTAAATAGTGTTTAAGTTGAGTTCCTACATCTACGTCTAAGTGAAATTGTGACATTCGCGCTCGCACAAGTGAGTGATAAACAATAATTACCGGTTATGAATCAATTCATAACTAATTAATTGTACATAAATGAATCGCGTAATTAAATATAAGTTAGAATACTTTTTGAGGATTGAATAGGCCAAAGAAAGCGGTTGTTTAGTCGCCTTTTACGACACGCAGCGCCCACTGCGGTAGGGATATTCTTTCCCGACCCTACACGGGAAAATTTATGCACTCGTAGAGGTAACGAGTAACAGTATGAAAAACACCACAGAAAATGACATTATATTGAGTTTATATAATACATGAAATTCTCTTGAAGGTTTCTACGAGATTTCCTTTTGAAGGGATAATAGGAATTTTCCATAATTTTCTTGAAGTTGTCCGCTCTCCGTCTCTTTTTGAAGTGGTCCCGACGTTCTTCAAAACCACACTGAATGTTTTTAAACATTCTAATGTACTTTCATTCACTGGTAATTTTCGTTGATGAAGACAAGTTCAAGAAGATCTCCAAAAGCCCTCCTGAAAATTTTTTATGTAAAACCTGACTTAATTATTGAAATTCGTTTAAAATTACCAACAAATTCTGTTGGAATTCTCCTAAACTTCTTCAGGAAGATATTTTGAAAGCAACTCTCCTGAGGTCCCTTGAAATTCAGTTCCGTTAATCTGCAATGGTAGGACAAAGCTATAATTCTTGCCATAGAAAAAAAATGGCAAAATTAGGTTATTCTTTTAACACTCGTGAAAGGAGTCCAATTCCTTTTAACGGATCATTATGCGGTTACGCGCTGTTTCGATTTGGTATCCGTTATGTATAAAAGGTCGAATCTGCAATGGCAAGGAAAGCTTGAAGCTTAAATGATGAGAAAATTAAGTTATTCTTTTTACCAGCCCCGAAAAGAGTCTAACTTGACTTGATACTGAAGCAAACATTCCAGAAATCCCGATAGACATCGAGGCGCCATGAAAGATCAGTCATCGGAGATAAAGAATAAAGGCAGAGGTGACGTAATCTTTCGTAAAAATACGACGTGATTGTTCGAGAACCTCCTAGAATAGTCGATTGCGTTCGGAAGCATCAGAGATCTTTCGGGAAAGAGTGGGCGTTTGCTATATAAAGTCGAATTGCGTTTTAGTCAGTTCTAATTTCAACGCCGAAGTAATAAATAGAACGCGCTGTTATACATTGTGTATATGTGAGTGATAAATAACATGTTTTACTGTTATAAATGAATTCGTTTCAAGACTGTCATAAATTCAACTATTTGTTAATAAATAAACTGTTTCGGTAAACTTAGTCCATCGTCAGACTTTGCGAAATCGATAACCTACTAGAAGAATATATAATTATAAGATTACGGCAACACGCAATCGTTTTTATTCATAAATAATTATTTATTCTATGGTGCCTGCAATCATCAAAAGGAGGACGGAAAGAAAATCTCAAAGAAGAATTTTGTTCGTCTAATATAAGTTATATCTAAAAAAAGGTGCAAGAGACCTTTTATTAGCAGTCACGTGTCTACTTTTTCTGTCCTCACCCACACATTGATATGTAAGATACTACCAAAACGAGTATTTACAACGTGACCGAGAACAGATAATTTTCATTCATTGAATTTGTATAACCGAAACCTCAGTTTCGAATAACGTATATAATCAGTTTAACGTCGATTCCGCCTCATTGCAAGGGAAACCTTAATTGAAGCTGAAACGCAACGTGATTTCCTGTGCCCCATAATCTTGCACAGATTGTCTTTGCGTACGGTTCCTCGTGATTTGTGTGCGTATCGCATTCGGATTAGACAACCACAGGTTAATTGTACGGTTGCTAACACCACAGACAATGCGGCTTGGTCTAACACGTTATTTACTAGTAGTAAACACGGTTTTTGTACAAGAAAATGTTCAAAATTCATGGATGAAGGGCAAAGAGAAATTGAAGATATATAGATTCAGGATACAGGATTCAGTGTTTTGGGTTTTAATGAAAGATTCGAAGTATTTGTGCAACCCTTTAACTCATTACCCTACTAAAGATATACTAAATTTCTTTCAGACCGTGAGTTTGTGTAAATTTCCGGTAATGTGAACTTGGTTTTCCATTTAAAGAATGTTGCAATATTCTAATTAGAATTTTGAAGGCAGACCAACATTGTGTCAAACGTAATTGTATTCATCTTTTTCACAATTCCGTCTATACCTAACTTGCGAACTTGGCCCTTCATTACATATTGTTGTCTCATGCCACAAATTCGTCATTTTAATATTTCCCTTAAAAATTACCTCACATTCAGCGCTCATAAACTTGCTCTAAAAAATTGTCTCAAATATTTCCTTTGGAACGTACGCTTCATGTACAGGGTGTAAACCGAAAAGTGGAATATATAGGCGTTTAACATGGGAAATTACTTTTTTCTATTTCGGTGTTACAATGAGGATTTTGTGCAACTGTTTTCGGCAAAAACAGTGTTTCAATGAGTTGCATTGTAACATTGTTTTTGGTAACTTTTGATCTCTAAGTTGGCAGTTCGCCAAGACGTCAACGTCAAATCATCAGATGGGAAATCAAATTACGTAAAATTTATGTGTTTTCCTTGATTTTTGGTACACGAAGAACTTAATACATTCCAAATCAGCAGTTTACACATCCACCATAAATAAATTTATCCACGACTAAAAAATTACATATTCACGGAATTTAAAGTTTCCAAATGTCAGTGTTGTGTTTATCTACGCTGCCAACTTAAAATTTGTCAACGTAAATGGTGTTGCCAAGACATATTAATTTTAAAGTTTAAAGTTTTTGATAAATACTTTTTAATTACATTAAAGACCCGAAATAGAAAAAATAGTATGAAAAACACGTGTTACAATGCTTTATTACGCAAAAATACTTCAAATAAAAGTTATAGAGATATAAATTCTGCATCTAAATCATGTGAAACGATTATTCTACCTCTTCTTGTACGCTAAAAAATTAATTATAAAGATTCTGTGTTCACGAGTTTTTAGTCTAAGTAGCCATGGATTATGATAAAAGAAAAACATAGTGTTCTAGACTCAAATCAGGAATTTAGATCCTAAATGTGCAATGCTTTTTCTAAGATTGGAAAGTTCATTAAGGTTCAACCCGGGGTTCAACACTAATCTTCATAACTAACTTTCCTTAGATTCAATAAGTATTCGAAATTTTGATAGAAAAGGGATCTGTTGAGATATTAAACTTCGTAAACTTCTTCAAGATTAACTTTGGCATTTCTCAGCGGTAATAATAGTAAAATTTTTCTATAGAAGAAACGAAGAACGATTTTCTTAATTTTTTGTTTTAACACACAGAAACAGAAATCCCAGCGAACACAGTTACGTTTAAAAAACGTTTTTAAAGCGCTTTAAAAGGATAAATTTGGTATTCGTCGAAAGGTAGGTTTTGGCTTATAGCGACGTCGGAAGTACTCAGTTTTTACACAAGGGGGGCCGCGCCCCCTCTAAGAATGAGTAGATAAATCACTCAAAAGCGACATCTTCTACTGCATGTGCATGCAGAAATTACAAAAAAGTGTAGAAGTAGAGGATATATTGAAAGTATTTGCCAGCAAAACTGCGGAAAAGCAGAAAATTTTTGAAAATATTTAATTTTTTATACTTATGCTTCTCTTTACAATGACCAATAGTGCAATAAATAGGAACAAAATTTTTGTAACTTCTGTATGTTCTAGTTCTTCACTATTTTTTAAATAAAATATTAATGATCTATGGCTATGGTTTTTTTCAATCGAATCAAGTATCTCTGAGTTGCTCAGTTGCATATATAACTAGACATCCTCCGACACTTTTTTAAATTTTTTAAATTTTTTTCAAACCTTTTCTTTCAAAAATATATTATTTGATTGATTAAATAAACAGGTTTCAGGGTCACTTAAAAAACCCACTGCTTTGCATTAATTCGTACACAATTTTGCATGGGAGGAACCTTTCAGACTCCATGGGCGCTGATTTTTGCCCCCCCAACCGTTATTCACTTCCGACGTCGCTGTTGGCTTACAGCGCATTTACTAAAAATACACGATTGACGTCATTGAATTAAAAGGTGCCTGAATAATGCGATTTTGTTCTAGATTCAATAATAAAGTGGTTACAGGAAATTGAAGGAATCGGACATTTTCAGTTTTTCTCTCTAGGGAAAGAACAAAAGTCTGCAACCAATTTCTAGCAACAGTAATGGAATAAGCATGAAAACAGAGGTCGCGAGTACCTAAGCCGTTTTCGTTTATACGCACTAATAAGAATTTTACGCATTTAATCCCATCGAATTGTTTATAATTATTCGTCGACTGGATCGAGGATTGAGAAACGCCAACTATCTCTTCGAATCGCCTTGACATTGGAGACTCCGGGGAAAATTGTGAGGATAAGGAATCATTGGGAATCATAGCACTGACAATCTTACTGATTTTGTACAAAATTTTTTCGATTCGTTAGGTATATCGTAAAAACTTATTTTCAATTATCGAAAAAAAAAAAACAAATGGTCCTTCGCGAATATGTCGAGTTTATATTTGCCCTGTCTTGAACTTGTTCACATAAATATGCACGACGATATAATGGGTTTGTTCCTCATTCGGAACTAAATAATTGTTCTTTTTACAGTACTGAACGATAGAATGTTTGTGCTGCGTCATGTTTTACAGGACGCGACTTAAGGATTAAGTTTTTTTTTAATTCAATTACGCTACCCGAAGCCCGGATTTCTTGTTTGCATTCTATTGTTTTCTCCTAGTTTTGTAAACAAAGGACCTAAGGGGGATCGCGATACTCGAAACGTTATATTTTGTGCGCTTCCACCAAAAAAAGCACTAATTTTTTTCTCAAAATTGAACTTCGGTAACTGGCTTCTACTACAACGCGAATAATCTGTGTTCACCCCAACGACCAACACGCGAAATTTTCCCGAATCTTTTCCAGAACTAAACCCCCTCCCCCACTAACATTTTTTTTATTAACCACACGTTTACCATGTTTTTAAAGTGCCAATTGGAAATATTCTCATCGACAGCCTCCTAATGCGTTAAAAATGTTCCTTATGCAGATTTCCCATGGCCAGAAAGTGCAATACTGCTACTGTTGCAATTGGAATTAAAAACCCTATGAACCTGAGATAAACCCTCGCTATCCAGTCGCCGTAAAATCCCTAAGCAATTAACAAACAAAAGGGCCATTCAAAAAAAACAATATCATTTCATCCTTTTTATGGATAACTAGATTGAAATTAAATTAATTAAAAAATCTTATTTATTTTTGTCTCATTAAGAACTTTTGTAGAGATATTAATAAGCTGCCATATGATGTAATAATATACAGAGTGTTCCATATAACATGTTTGCTATTACCTGACAGATCTGCTTTGTTTTTAAGTATAGTGTTTTGGATTAAGTAGAAAATAAATCGTAAAGTCAATTTGCATGCGAAATTCTAGTTACTTATTGTCTATTTTACATTTTAGATAATTATACAAAAGGCACGTTTCATTTTAAGTAGGTTCTCGATGAATGTCGTATTTTGAATTGTATTTTAACCACCTCTTCCGATTGTAGTGTTAAGATTGCAAGGAAAAAACTCCCATAATACATTTGTTAAAATTTTGAGATAAACATGTCAATTTACAGATAAAAAATAACTTGTATGTCCCTTCAACACTTCCGTAAATTTTAACACCTTCCGAACGAAACATCAATCAGCACACGAAAGACACTGTCCGATTAACCAGGTCTTTATTTGCAATAATATGAAAGTGATCTGGATCAACTGGTGGGGAGGTTAAATAAACATATTTATAATTATCCTTTATTTATTAACAATGTATCATCTCATAAAAAATAAATAAATATTTTTGAATTAGAGAATAGGTACGAATTTACCAGGACTTGACGAGTCCTCCCAATCCGTAACCGTGAGCGCCGTATCCCAAACCGTACGAGGCGGCGGCGTAGGGGAGTGCCGGGGCGGCATGGTACGAGAGGGCGGGGGCGGCGTGCACAATTGGAGCAGCCTTGATGATGGGTGCGGGTGCGGCGTAGGAGATTGCTGGGGCGGCGTGGATGGCGTGGGCGTACGGGGCGGCGTAGGAGGCGACTGGGGCGGCGTAGGCGGCGTGGGCTACTGGGGCGACGGCTTTAACGGCGACGGGGTGGGAGATCTGAAAGAAGAGTATCGTGAGTTTTCCGGGGTGCGTGCTGTTTACGCGTTACCTTTACGGAGCTTTGGTAAGAGGTAGCGTGGGCCAATGGAGCAGCGTAGGCAGCGTGAGCTACTGGGGCGGCATAGGCGGCGTGAGCCACTGGGGCGGCATAGGCGGCGTGAGCCACTGGGGCGGCGTACGCGGCGGTGGCGATAGGTGCGGCATATGCGGCATGTGCAACAGGAGCGGCATAAGCGGCGTGGGCCAAAGGCGCCGAGTAGAGTTCGGGAGCATAGCCAGCGCTAGCGGCGGCGACGAAGACGGCGAGGATGATCTGTAAATGTTGAAGGTATGTAAAGTAAGCGTTACATTGGCAATTAAAACTTACGAATTTGAACATGTTGTTGCTGTGTACTACGCTGCAAGTGTACGAATGCTGTTTGGGGCTGACAATTTGGTTTATATACCTCTCAGTTAAGATCACAAAGGGGCAGAGCCCCGTGTTCTGGGTCAGGGGCATGATGTAGCAAGGTCCTCATTTCACTTTCGTTTAACGTACCGGTAAATTACAATGATTTAGAGCATCGGCTAATACTTCTGGTAGTGGAGACCTAGCCTACGCATATTTTTTTAATTTAATAGTAACAACTTGTACAAACTTATTAGAGTATCTATCAAAACTAGTGAGAGTGAATTTTTTTATTTACTTTGTTAAATGTCTACATCTACTCTAAGTAGCACACCGAAGGGGACTTATAAAGTATCTCAACCTGAAAATGAATTTTTTACTTATTCTTTGTGCGGCAATTACTATTGCGACAAATTTTCCTGCAAAACTGTCCAAAAAGCCATAAATATTCAAGTAGCACAATAGGTGTGCAAATATTGCCGAGAATAGTAAATCACTTCCCCATTGCATCGATACATCCCACTTTACACGATACCGTGCACCTGAAGAAGGTTGATTTTTTTCATACCACCAATAGCCGTGGGACAATTGGTATTGAACAATTTTGCTTATTTGTCCAATTTACGCATTCCGTACATTGACAACTATTGCAAGGATACCTCCTAAAGCAACAAAACTTGTACGTTTATTTATAGAATTTTTTTCTTTATAATTGCATTTGCTCCAGTTTCGTGCAGTTTTGCCATTTTAGACATGTCGCTGGCTCGAAATCCTGTACATGACGAAATAGTACAAAATTTCATTACTTTTAATTACGCGTTAATGTAAGCAAAAATATGTTTAATGGGAGTTGAACTGGATTAAGAATGATCTGTCATGAAACGAAGGTGACTGTATTGCTATGACCCACATTTTTTTAATTTAAGTCAATGGACCTAAGAAGTTAGTATACGAAGAGGGACAACACCTTTCAGTGGAAAAAAATTAATGCATGCATAATTTGGATGTTTTTTCAGTGTGAAAAAACTGGCCGAAGAGTGGTACCGGACTCCCTCCATTGGGATGTAAGACAAATTTTGCCACAATTTCATAATCTCACATAAATTTACATAATTAGATACAGAGATTTATCATATAAGGCGGTGCATTAAAGGTCAATTTTGACCGATAAGATCAGAATTTGGCATCGCGTGTAGGTTAATTGAGCCAATTCCGAGTGTAGCAAAATGCGTGTAGCAAAAATGTTAGATACCGAAGTGTTTCCGATGATGCAAGGAAAATGTCATCGTGTTTCATTCCTCCGACATCTCTGACTACATGCTCAGGCTTGCCGGAGCCTCTTTATCTAGAAAACGGGAATGTAAGGATAGGTAAAGTGAGGGATGGGAACGGAAGGAACGGAGTTAGGGCGCTGAGGGGGAGAGTACTGCTCCAGCATTCGCTTCTTAGATTTCAACATAACGCTAACACTATGCGAAGCTACGTATGCCTGAGGAAAACCCTCTGACAAAACCCCAGATAGAGCAGTCGGCAGCGGGATTCGAAACAACTTGCTTGCCGTTAAGTTATTTGTGCCCCATCCAACACCACTTGGGTCGTCAGAGCACGGACCAATTCAATTGCAGTCGTCGAAGGACCTGATGAGATCTTGACCTTTCGACGTTTTTATCGAAATCGGTCCACTATAAACAATTTCTCGAAGATTTTAAAGAGTTGCCTACATGAGTGCATATTATACTCATAGAAAATTTAATTTGTGAAGTGTGTTTTTGCCAATACAACAATAAAACAGTGTTTATTAAATAATTATAATCCTTTGTGCATTAAAACGAAACTTTACTAAATTAATGTCTTCTCGGTTAATAATTTTCCAGAAATATCGCAAATTGCATCCGCAGCGAAGGAAACTCTGTTTCCCTGCAAATCGAGAACGGTATATGAAGAAGCTTACAATGCATACAAGAAATGGTGCGTAAAGAGAAATGTAAAAAAAAACCGTTGAAGATACAATTCTGGCTTACTTTACGACCGATCTCGCGTCGTATAAAGCATCAAGCTTATGGATTAAATACTCCATGCTAGTTAACGTCACACAACAGATTTTTTATCAATTATCAGAAAGGAAAATGCACGGTTCAACCTGTAGGGGTTCACAAAGTTGGTGGTGTTCCGCCTTCCTAGTGTGGTGGCCAAATTCTTGAATTTAACAAATGCTTCTTCCTACACTAGCCATTCTTTTCGAAGAACGTCTGCAAGTCTTCTGGCAAATGCAGGTGGAAGTATGACTGACATCGTGCGCCATGGAGGATGTCAACGTTGCGACGAAAATCCTTGACGGAGCGGGTCCTTCATATCATCATAAAGAAATCGAAGAAAGACATCAAATGAGTGGACAACTCATTATAAAGAACAATGTGGATTGGGTGATTAATATTAACAATTACTACTCGAATAAGCCTCGAAGTAGGTGTTTCTTCAGAAGTTTCGCATTTATATTTATTTTGTTATGTTTAAATAAATTATTTTGACAACCGACCACGTGACATTTGTTTATGGCCGCCGTCCATAAAGAGCCACTTTATGGCCGCAAAAAGATATCATAAAGTATAGATTATTATACAATCGGACATAAAGTAGTCTTAAAGCATTGCAATGTCATAAGGGGCGGTTTTTAAGAGTTGGAAAGTTACAAAATGAAATTAATAATATTTTAAGCCATTTTTGTAATTAAAACAGTGTGATAAGTTATTAATTTTTTGAGGGTAAATACTTTTTCTTTAATTCTACTACACCAGGGATTGAATTTTAATGGTTGAAATATTCTAAAATAATTTTCCAACGCATCTAACTTGCATTACTCAACTCATTTGCACCAAATATGACTCACATTATTAAGCTTTAATACAGAGTTATATTTTGGGGTAGTTTGCACTCCTTAAAAATGAAAAGCGCCCATCGGAGTAGATCCATTTTGAAAAAATTGGTTTTGTACTATGTTCAGCTTTGTTTCTTAGACTATGAATTGAATTGTGGTAGGAAATTGAAAACGTGATTCGTAATTAGAGGAACCATTTTGATCCAGGGTGAATAGACCTATATGGGTTTTATAAGTGTGCATCTTTTTTCGTTTGCCAATTAAAAATTAAGAAATTGCAGGGTGCAATGTCAAATTTTGTTTATCAAATCAACCTAATCAAGTCTCTTAGGACTAAGAAATATAATTTTGATTTCAATTAGAAGTGGGGACGTCGATAATCATAATTCATCACAAAAAAGTATTGATTAACCCTACTCGGGACTTGATGGGGGTTGATAAAAAATACTACTTCGTTATCTGGATTATTCAGGGGGTAGGCAGCTTTGATTTAATTAGTGACCTAGTTTAGGAAATCTCAATGTAAAACTTTGAAAACGTTGGCCACGGGCTTTGGTATACCGGGCGATCAAAAATGAGTTGCTGCAAGTCGCCTTTGGAAGTTCTATAGTACGATTTCCCATGTAAATAAAAATTCCAGGCTATATGTATAATATTTTTGTATGAAAAAAATTAGTTACCGGGCGAAACCGGGTTTTTCAGGCAGGTGAAATGAATAGAAATTGGGAAAAAATAATTAAAACAGCTGAATTTTTCCACGGGTGAAATGACGGGGGTTGAAAGAGGTGGAAAGTGGTGTTTTGAGAATTGTGGCAAAACTATTAATTTTAGACGAAAATCTTCAATGCAAAAGTTATAGAGATTAAAAAAATTACCAACTTTTGTATTTGCACTATTTTCACATAAGCTCCAATTTTCCTAGAAAAACCAGAAAAACTGTTTTGTTCGTTTTTTATTCTTATTTTTTCGAAAAAAAGTCGTAGCGGTTTGAAATTTGGATGAAACATAGCTTGTTTCATGATAAAAAGAAGATAATTTTTTGGGCCCGTAAAGTTGAACCGTTTCCAAGATCTCACGATTTCTGAAAAAAACCACCTCTTTTTCAAGGAGATGAAAAATCTATTTTTTTCATCGTACAGAGGTGCGCGGGGTAGCAAAATTTTCAGGAAGACTTATATTTTAATAAACCAAAATAAAAAAATATTATTCCTATAGCAAAAATTCGAGAAAATCGCCAAAAACCGGAAAAACAGTTTTAAGATATACACGGTTTTTGACATGATAAATCAACATGTTGGATGTTAATAAAGATTTTTTCGAAATCTCTCTTCTTCCTCCTCTTTAATGTTTGCCTAAATATTCTCTTTTGTTATCTTATGCTCAACTGTTTTAGTTAAAACATCTTCATTAATTCTTTTTTCCGCATTTTTACCGCAATAAAAGCAATTCGAAATAAAATCGAATTATGTATCGTGCTTCCTGATTCTTGAACAATTTATTTTTGTTCACTGACTCTTCTTCCTGCTTATTTTATAGCTGATGCAATTGCGTTGGGCCTGTTGATAAACTTGCAAAATCTGCAATAAGAACGTTGGTTTTACCGGCCAATAGCAAATGATTTGAGATGTCAAACCTGCAGGAATAAACATTATGAGGATTTTATTCATAATTTCTGTAAATTAACGATCAACAGGCCCAACTTAATCCCATCAGCTGCAAAACAGGCAGGAAGAAGAGTTAGTGAACAAAAACAAATTGTTCAGGAAGTAAAAGAATTCGATTTTACTTCGAATTGCTTTTATTGCAGTAAAAATGCGCAGAAAAATGAAATAATAAAGATGTTTTAATTAAGGCAGTTGGGCACTGGGAAACAAAAGAAAATATTTTAGCAACATTAAAGAGGAGAGAGAAGACAGATTTCCAAAACTTTTTATTAACGCGGATCCAACACGTTAATTTATTTGCAAAAAAGCCTATTTATCTACTGTCAAAAACTGTGTATCTTAAAACTGTTCCCCCCGTTTTTTGCCGCTTTTCTTGAAATTTTTCTATTGGAATAATATTTTTTATTTTTGATTATTAAAATGTAAATCGTTACGAAAATTTTGCTACCCCGCGCACCTCTGTACGTTGAAAAAAAATAGATTTTTCATCCCCTT